TATTTCGCAAGTTCGTCTTCAGTCATAATTGCAATGACACTTATGTTGATCTAAAAGGAAATGTCAGCTATAAATACATTGGCAACGAAAGCATGCATATGGATTAATTATAGCCTAACTGTAACAATTTACCTTATCCTCTTTTATATTCTCAATTGAATATTGAGAAATATCTCGTGACCTCAAAAAAATTAACCAAATCTTCTTCCATGTTGCGACCTTTCGAAAAATTAAGTTCTAAACAACTCTCACCCCCACATTAGTAATGATGTTAATGCAAAATGCCTAAACCGGAAATTGCGAAGGCGTGTGCACGCCATACGTTTCTCGTGCGCACGAGATAGTTTCCGATACATTTTTCGTGTGCACGCAAAAGTTTCTCGTGAGCACGTGAAAGTCTGTGTATTTTTTATTTTCGCAAAGGTCCCTTTAGGGGCTCCGTAATTTTAACACAATATTCTATACGTTTATTTTTTTGTCCTGTAAATATTTTTTTTTACACATTAAAACAAATTGTTCTATTCATTACTAAAAGCACTTTTTACAACTACTGTATTGACCCGAATATAAGACGATGTTTTTTTCTTGGAAATACGTCTGAAAAAACGCGGTTGTCTTATATTCAGGGTCTAGACTTTGACATGTCAATAATACATCCACAACAATAGGTGGCGCCAAATACGCATAAAACGAGTGTGCCATGAAATACGTAATGTAATGCGTGTTGTAAAAATCGCGAGAAAAACAAAAGAAAAGCTTACAGCTGCACGAGTCGTGACTGTCACGTTAGCCTGATGGGACCAAACTCCCTTTGTGATTTTAAAACGTAAGACAGTACCCAGATTTGAAGACTACAGTAAGATTTAACTTCTACTGTTAATAAGATTTTGGAAATGCTCTAACTGAAAGACGATCCCCATATCTAACGATATATTTCGCAAGTTCGTCTTCAGTCATAATTGCAATGACACTTATGTTGATCTAAAAGGAAATGTCAGCTATAAATACATTGGCAACGAAAGCATGCATATGGATTAATTATAGCCTAACTGTAACACAATTTACCTTATCCTCTTTTATATTCTCAATTGAATATTGAGAAATATCTCGTGACCTCAAAAAAATCAACCAAATCTTCTTCCATGTTGCGACCTTTCGAAAAATTAAGTTCTAAACAACTCTCACCCCCACATTAGTAATGATGCTAATGCAAAATGCCTAAACCGGAAATTGCGAAGGCGTGTGCACGCCATACGTTTCTCGTGCGCACGAGATAGTTTCCGATACATTTTTCGTGTGCACGCAAAAGTTTCTCATGAGCACGTGAAAGTCTGTGTATTTTTTATTTTCGCAAAGGTCCCTTTAGGAGCTCCGTAATTTTAACACAATATTCTATACGTTTATTTTTTTGTCCTGTAAATATTTTTTTTTACACATTAAAACAAATTGTTCTACAACATAACTTAGGTTTACCTTCAGAAAAACAACATACAATTTTAAATTAACAGAATATAAAACAGAACAAAACATTTTTGTGTGCACTGACAATTCAGCTGACCAGGGAGGCCCTGGTGGAGCTGCTGGACCTGGATGGGCTGCCACAATACAGACCCTGGTAAGGCCTCTCTGCTGGTGGGACATCATCTGGGATGGTCTCCAGAATGTTGGAGTGCATATTTCCACTGTCCACTGCATTGTCTACCAACAGGTTTGCAGGGCTGACACAATCGACGGCTGTCATATCACTGAGATGTTTTCAGAAAGGGAAGAATAAATTAAATTAACTTGCACACTCAAATCAAACTATCAAATATTTCTATGTTCAAAACAGTTTTATGGTCCATTACATTTTTGTCTTAGAATTGTAAAACTATAATGCCTCTTACTTGCCCGTTACAAATAGATGTGGTCAGTGGTTACCTCCTCCAGGGCAGACATCTCTGCAGACAGATGGTCACGCCAGGGAGAACCACTGACTGTCTCCAAAGCATGCTCCTCCTCTGCCACATCCTCCTCATGCTCATCCTCCCGGGCCATGATGTCACCTAGCCCAAGGCAGATGTTATGGAGGATGGCACTGGCTGTTATGACCTGAAATGGTAAAAAAGGGAACAAAAGTACATCTTCAGAAAAATTAATGTTTATTCCTTTACAGTATTTAAAAAATGTCTTCACGTCACTAAATTCACTTACGTGAGGTACAAAGGTGTGGTGCACCTCCAGTGCTTGCAGGAAGATGGCCCTGAACCTGGTCTTCATCATCCCAAAAGCACGCTCTATAATGGAGCGTGCCCTGGAATGATGGACGTTAAAGCGCTGGGCTCCCACACCTTGTACTGGTCTCTTGTAGGGAGTGATGAGGGGGAGTATGTGTTGGAGGCATGAGTAACCTCCGTCTGCCAGGATAAAGTGCCCTGGAGGAGGGTACACTGACCTCCTGTACAGTGGGCTGTGGTGGAGCAATCGTGCGTCATGCACTGACCAAGGCCAGCCCACGTAGGTGTCAATGAAGTGGCCCTGATGGTCACAAACAGCCTGCAGGATAATAGATGGAAACAGTTTCCTGTTCCTGTAGCACTGACCATCAGGGCCGCTCGGTGGCTTGATGCAGACATGGCAACCGTCGATTGCTCCTGCAGATTTCAAAAAAGCTCTGTGTCTTGCCAGCCCTGCAAACCCACGGCAAAAGGCCTCCAGGTCTTCTGGGGTCTTCGGGAGGTGAATCACTTTGTGGTGAATGGCCAGCACCTCCTCAGCAACTTGGTGGACAATGCGGTGGACAGTGGAAGGAGGCACGTCAAACACTCTGGAAACCACTATGTATTATGTACCACACGCCAGCCAGAAAAGAAACGCCAGGGTCTCGATTGTAGCACCCCAACCGTGTTGCCGTTCACTTCTCAGAAGATCCAGCCGCAATGTCAGGGCCTCCCTGCTCAGCCGAAAATCAGGCCGTGTGTCACAGTCATTAAAAAAACCTGTCCAGCACTGGCACATTCAGCTTTATCCTGCAGTATAGGGGTCTGGTCTGATTTAGGGAAAGAAGGAAAAGGGAAATTGTTTAGAGCTATGACAAAGAAATCAGTAGAAGAAATATTGAGAAACTTTAGGAAACTATTTTTTAGTAACTACTAATATACCACACTGATGGAATGTACTAGTCAAATTTAAAACCTTGAAGGGATAGTTCAACCAAAAATTTAAATTCAGTCATCATTTTGCTCACCACTGACAACCATAGTATTTTTTTTCCTATGGTAGTCAATGCGGGCCAGATCTGCTTGGTTACAAACATTGTTCCAAATATCTTCCTTTGTGTACAGCAGAACAAAGAAATGTACACAGGTTTGGAACAACTTGAGGGTGAGTAAATGATGACCAAATTTTCCTTTCTGGGTGAACATAAAAAGTATTATCTTGCATACTGTAATAAAGTATGGAAAATAAAAGCGAAGGTATGTATTGTTCTGAAAAAGAATTCGTCAGGATGGTTTTGCATTAATATTACTGCTGCACTACTGTGTATGTTGCATTTTACTTCTGAATATGTTTAAGGTTGTTAAATTTAAAATAGCCTACTTCATATACTGTTGGGCAGTTTAATCTACAACAATGCATCAAAAGACCATATTTTTATAGTGCTGCTGTCCTGTGAGAACAAATCATCACAGTAACCTACTTCACATTTGTACTGAATACTTAACGAATGTGCTTCGCTACAGTCCACCACTGGTCATTTTGAAAATTAAACTAACATTTCTTTTCAGAATATTAACAAATTGTTGCTAACTACAGCTGCAACCCATATCAAAACCTGCATCCAAAGGATTGGACCGGCCCTACGGAGCACTGTTCAGCTGTCACAGCTGCCACTGAACATTGAGATGAACAGTGCTCAATTTGTTTTTATTTATTCACAGTTTTATTTTTATGGTTATTTAACTGCCTAAAATCATGGTTGCAAACCTTTCTAAATATGTTCACCATGGTCAAAACAATAAACTATTATAAAATCGCACCTTCGTAAGATATCAGTCAGCATTTGAACCGCTATATACGTGTGTATTTTGTATTTTTTCATATGTATCAATACATTATTTAAGTCTGTTCAAATGCAATGCCTGCATTTAAAGTTGTAATCCGGCAAGGACGCAGCAAAACAATGTAACTTACCTGGCCACGCTCTTGGCTAAGCCTGAGGTACATCACTCGGTGCCGCTGGGGGTGAAACATTGCCACCATCTCCTCCATTACAGTATAAAACAAAAACAAATATGAGCAATGCTGGCCCCAAAACTTTTTTCAATGACTATCCCTGTCAGGATGGCAGCTGTTCTCTCGCACCATTGCTCTGCGACAGGAGTGGCAATCGGGAAAAACTGGTGGCGGAATTAGGAAATCCTGCGAACGCAGAGCGTCTCATGCACTTTGAAGGGTCATTCGTGCACTTCGGAGGCGTGGCCTTCGAAGTCCTACACTTCGAAGAGCGCACACTTCATTTTGGGACACACAAGCTGCAGTGTCTTTGTCCAAGGTGCCACGACTGTCTTATGAGGACATTTGTGTATCTCAAAAAACAGTGAATTTTGAGCACCTATTAGACAAGGTTAACAGAGGCTGAACAACAGAAGGAACAACTCTCTTCCTTCTAAACAACTTTATAATTATAAAAATATGGTCTTCACCTAGTGTGCCCAAAAGATTAAACAAAAACTTTAAAAAAAATAGGTAAGCTCACAAAATTAGGTAAGCTCATGTATCATATGATTCCAAACAAGCATGCAAACTTGAATGTTGGCACTTTAACAAAAGGGTAAAAATGACTATATTCCTTTTGCAAATTCCCTGAAATTACTAAAGGTAAGTATGTTAGAAAACAATGTTCTGCTAAATGAATAAAGTTATTTATTACGACCCCAGTCTAGGGTCAGGGAGGTAACATAAAGAGTACTGGGGCTGCTTTTACTATTCCAGTGTTTTTATTTTCTGTTTACACCAAATCTGTTAAGTTTTCTTTAGAACTAAATCTTTACTTAGTGATGGCATATGAAAGGGGTCTCTTCACCGTGAATTCTCAATGTTAATCCCAAGATTTGCTTGGTCTGAGCCAGATTTTCCACAGTGTGAACACTCATGTGGCCTTTGAGGTTTCCTTTGTGACAAAAACTCCACACTTCGGGCATATGAATGGCATTTCTCCATTGTGAATTCTCATGTGGACTTCACGGTTTCCATTTATAGTGAAACTTTTACCACATTGTTGGCAGTTGAAAAGACTCTCTCCAGTGTGAGCACTCATGTGGACTTTGAGGTTTCCTTTGTGACTAAAACTCTTTCCACACTGTTGGCAGGTGTAAGGTTTCTCTCCAGTGTGAATTCCCATGTGCCTTTGAAGGGTTCCATTATCAATGAAACTTTTTCCACACTGTTGGCAGGTGTAAGGCTTCTCTCCGGTGTGAATTTTCATGTGGACTTTAAGGGTTTCTTTTTTAGTGAAACTCTTTCCACATTGTTGGCAGATGAAATGACTTCTAGCTCCTGTCTTTTGAGCTCTCTTTTGTGTTGCCTGTTCAGTTTGTGAGCAACTAAAACTTTCTCCAGTAAAATCATGTTTCTCAGACTGATCTTTGTCTTCCATTTAATTTAGTTCTTCACATTTCTCACCAGTGTGAACACTCATGTGGCCTTTGAGGTTTCCTTTTTGACAGAAACTCTTTCCACACTTAGGGCATATGTACGGCTTTTCTCCATTGTGAATTCTCATGTGGCTCTCTAGGCATCCTTTTTGAATGAAAGAGTTTCCACACCATTTGCAGGTATAAGGCTTCTCTCCGGTGTGAATTCTCATGTGAACATTACGGTTTCCTCTATCAGTAAAACTCTTTCCACACTGTTGGCAGGTGTAAGGTTTCTCTCCAGTGTGAATTCTCATGTGCCTTTGAAGGGTTCCATTGTCAATGAAACTTTTTCCACACTGTTGGCAGGTGTAAGACTTCTCTCCGGTGTGAATTTTCATGTGGACTTTAAGGGTTTCTTTTTTAGTGAAACTCTTTCCACATTGTTGGCAGATGAAATGACTTCTAGCTCCTGTCTTTTGAGCTCTCTTTTGTGTTGCCTGTTCAGTTTGTGAGCAATTAAAACTTTCTCCAGTAAAATCATGTTTCTCAGACTGATCTTTGTCTTCCATTTCATTTAGTTCTTCACATTTCTCACCAGTGTGAACACTCATGTGGCCTTTGAGGTTTCCTTTTTGACAGAAACTCTTTCCACACTTCGGGCATATGAACGGCTTTTCTCCATTGTGAATTCTCATGTGGACTTCAAGGTTTCCCTTTATAGTGAAACTTTTACCACATTGATGGCAGTTGAAAAGGCTCTCTCCAGTGTGAACACTCATGTGAACTTTGAGGTTTCCTTTTTGACTAAAACTCTTTCTACACTGTTGGCAGGTGTAAGATTTCTCTCCAGTATGAATTCTCATGTGGCTATCGAGGCTTCCTTTTCGATTGAAATTATTTCCACACAGTTTGCAGGTGTAAGGCTTCTCTCCGGTGTGAATTCTCATGTGAACATTATGGTTTCCTCTATCAGTAAAACTCTTTCCACACTGTTGGCAGGTGTAAGGTTTCTCTCCAGTGTGAATTCTAACGTGCCTTTGAAGTGTTCCACTTTTAATGAAACTTTTTCCACACTGTTGGCAGGTGTAAGGCTTCTCTCCGGTGTGAATTCTCATGTGGACTTTAAGGGTTTCTTTTTTAGTGAAACTCTTTCCACATTGTTGGCAGATGAAATGTCCTGTCTTTTGAGCTCTCTTTTGTGAATTCTGTTTAGTTTGTGAGCAACTAAACAAACTTTCTCCAGTAAAATCATGTTTCTCATACTGATCTTTGTCTTCCACTTCCTTTAGTTCTTCACTTTTCTCTTTCAGGTCTAAAGCAAAAAGAGAACAACACAAGTTAATCCTATTTTAATGGCACAAAGCATTCAGCATTTGGCATTCAGCCAAAAAACATTTCAAATCGATCTTGCATTCTTTCTAACACGCACACAGGAGCATGCACGCGCCTCTGAGTGACTCTTCCATCAACCAGTTCAGTTTATCAACACCGCCTGCATGCTGAGGAAAATAGGCTTTCGCACGCTATAAAATACTTCTATTCTTCAAAATTACTGTTATGTTTATTTATGGTTATTTTTGTCATAAAATATTAATTTTGTTATTAGCCATGTAAAGCTTGAAATAATAAGACAAAAAAAATCCCATGTTTTTTTTTTTGACATATACACTGAACAAAATTATAAATGCAACACTTTTGTTTTTGCCCCCATTTTTCATGAGCTGAACTCAAAGATTTAAGACTTTTTCTATGTACACAAAAGGCCTATTTCTCTCAAATATTGTTCACAAATCTGTCTAAATCTGTGTTAGTGAGCACTTCTCTTTCTTGATACACCAGGCTTCTATGGCCCATGTAGTGATATAGTGAGAATGTGGAGGGGGAAAAACAGCTCAATTTTATTCAGTGCCCCAAAATGAGCAAAAATAACAATATGGTGCAGTTATTCATATGGGCAGAAATGTAGCTGAATGTGATTTGCAATTTCATTCCTGGCTGGTGGAACGATCTTCCCACCCATATCCTTAATGCTGAATCCCTGACCATTTTCAAGCGACAGCTGAAAACTCATCTCTTTCGAAGTTACTTGCCTTCATCATCATCATCATATAAAAAAAAAAAAATTCTCTCTTTATCTATTCCTTCTCTTTCTAGCTTGTACTTATTTGAACAATGTCTAAAAACTTGGTATTACAAGCACTTCCTGTATCTGTTTGCCTCTTTAAGAAGAATCGCTTTATGTATCCCCCAATTGTAAGTCGCTTTGGATAAAAGCGTCTGCTAAATGTCTAAATGTAAATGTAAATTCAGTACACCTATAAATGATTGTGAGGTGAACAAATAAATGTTCTTCAAAAGCCTTGTATTGAACATCAGCAAGATGGCAAGCCCCTTGAGCCTTAAAATGAACACTACCTTTTGTGGAGAGGGGGGTTAACATTAACATACAGTAACCCCCATGCAGGAACTGCTTTGCTTTCCCTCAAGCTTATCATTTGTGGAAGGGCGGAATGAGGATTTCAGCATTCCATTCATAAAAGATTGATCCAATCACCATGTGCTTTTTCACTGATAACAGTCCTTCATTTTGAGACCTAAAGGCCGGGACACACCAAGGCGAGTTCAAAGAACTAGAGACAACAAAAGCTGACGGTGTTGTTCTCACTCGCGCCGATGGCCCTGACGCCGATTAAACCTGTTGATTCTGCCGAACGTTCAACCATCGGTTTGGTGTGGACTACCACAGACTGACCAAACCAGTTTTTCTTTGTGGTTGAAGGCACACCTTCACATGCGTTCACACAAAATGGACACAAAATTAACTAAACCTTCTTCATATCAATTTACAGAACTGTATATACTTAATGAGTGCTGTGTGTGATACAACAATGCATTAGGGCTGTCTGACAATTTAAATTTTTAATCTAATTAATTACATGATGTGTTGATTAATTAATCGCAAAATAAATTTGACTGTAAAAATATGCACAAAAGATCATTTAAAAGCTATTTTTGTGTTAAATGAGAAAGTATCAAGTAGACATTACAAATTGTAGCTTTAGAAAGAAATATTTGATTTGATTCAACAACATTTTTTACACAAACATTTAGGATACAACAGCCTAAAGTAAACTATGGAACATAAAAGATCATTTAAGAAACATTGCAGTATTTTTTGTTCATACAATGAAAGCAGTTGATAGCCAAAACAGCTTTGTTACCAACAGACTTCAAAATACCTTCTTTTATATTCCACAAAAGAAAGGTTTGAAACAACATGAGGGTGAGTAAATTATGACAGAATTTAAATTTCTTGACTGAACTAGCCCTTTAATGTTTTATAATAAAAATATTAAGAAATGATTCGTTCAAATGGCTGATTCATTCAGAAGCTAAACATCGCTGTGTTGCTCGGAGACACGCAACAATTCTGCTATGGCTTTAAAGGTAATGCTTTCTGCTAAATTGAGCAAAAACACATAATATTGGGTTTATAATATAACACAATATTAACTTATTTACTGAACTACTGCATAAAATCACATTTAAACAGGGTTTATACAGAAACTGCAAAATAAAATTCCAGGACTTTCAAGCACCATTTTTTGGCTTTCAAGGACTAAAGTCAGAGATTTCACTTATCAAACAATATTGTTATTATCTTTCAAATTATAATACATAAACTAATAAAACAAAATGGTACAAATAAAGTGCAGCACAAGCAAAGCATGCAATGACTGTGGCCACTTTAGCATTTAAAAGGATATTATGGCAGTTACGCTTTCCTTTTATTTTATGAATACATGATTGACCTGAAGAATGAAAGCTATATCATACACTTGGAAAATTATGAGCTATATCATGCTTGTAGAAACTAGGGGTGGGACAATAAACTTAGCTTATGAGATGTGACAAAATACAGAGACTTGGTTTACTAGAACGAGAGAATATTTTAATAATATTTTTAAGAATTTTTCAATTACAAAACATTTGTCTTTTAATCACAAAATGCAAAACAATGCAGTTGTATTTTGAAATGTTTTAACTAATCTATTGCCATAACTAACAATTATTTTGGTAATCAAGTAATCTACTGATTATTTTGACAATTGAGTAATCTGATCATTTTTATTATTAAAAATAGACCCAAGTGAAAAACAGGCATTAATATGATAATATATTTTTAATAATAATTGTATCTTTATATACAAACTAATGATAAGGCAATCATTATTGGTTCAAATAAAGTATCAAATCCAAGTAATTACATGGCTTTATTGAACAACACTGTTAAAACACATAATGTAATATGCCTATATACAATATGAATATATAACCAACTTAAGAACATTATGTATTATAACAAATACCTGCAGAGGGCGCCAACGGCCTGGTGAGGTTTCATTTTACAGTGTGATTCAATGGCGTTTAAATCATTTAATTTTAATATTTGGACAAGCAAACTCAGAGCAACTTTTTGAATTTTGAAAATTTTGAAATCGCAATGTACAACAAATCGCGTATTTAGAAATATGTTTATGTATTCTCCTGTGTTGGCATAGATTTGTAAATGATTTACATTACAAATCTAGTGAGTGCATCCGTTTTCCCAGATGAACATTCAGCAACCCAAACTCACAGCATATGCAGAAGAAGAGTTTGTCGACGGAGCTGCTGAGATGGAGACGTGCTTCATGCTTGAAAATGATAACAGTGCAACACAAAGCGCATCAGACTTCATATGCGTTCCCAAATTAAACCCAAACAAACAGGTTTAAGGTGTAAGATTGCTCTCCAGTATGAATTGTCATGTGGCTATCGAGGCTTCCTTTTCGATTGAAACTATTTCCACACAGTTTGCAGGTGTAAGGCTTCTCTCCGGTGTGAATTCTCATGTGAACATTACAGTTTCCTCTTTCAGTAAAACTCTTTCCACACTGTTGGCAGGTGTAAGGTTTCTCTCCAGTGTGAATTCTAACGTGCCTTTGAAGTGTTCCACTTTTAATGAAACTTTTTCCACACTGTTGGCAGGTGTAAGGCTTCTCTCCGGTGTGAATTCTCATGTGGACTTTAAGGGTTTCTTTTTTAGTGAAACTCTTTCCACATTGTTGGCAGATGAATTGTCCTGTCTTTTGAGCTCTCTTTTGTGAATTCTGTTTAGTTTGTGAGCAACTAAAACTTTCTCCAGTAAAATCATGTTTCTCAGACTGATCTTTATCTTCCACTTCCTTTAGTTCTTCACTTTTCTCTTTCAGGTCTAAAGCAAAAAGAGAACAACACAAGTTAATCCTATTTTAATGGCACGAAGCATTCAGCATTCAGCCAAAAAACACTTCAAATCGATCTTGCATTCTTTCTAACACGCACACAGGAGCATGTACGCGCCTCTGAGTGACTCTTCCATCAACCAGTTTATCAACACCGCCTGCATGCTGAGGAAAATAGGCTTTTGCATGCTATAAAATACTTAATAATTATGTTTATGGTTATTTTTGTCATAAAATATTAATTTTGTTAACCAGTTCAGTTTATCAACACCGCCTGCATGCTGAGGAAAATAGGCTTTTGCATGCTATAAAATACTTATATTCTTCAAAATTAGTTTTTAATTATGTTTATGGTTATTTTTGTCATAAAATATTAATTTTGTTATTAGCCATGTAAAGCTTGAAATAATATAAGATAAAGACAAAAAAAATAAATTTGTTTTGACATATATTTGATACACCAGCCTTCTATGGCCCATGTAGTGATATAGTGAGAATGTAGAGGGGGGAAAACAGCTCAATTTTATTCAGTGCCCCAAAATGAGCTAAAATAACAATATGGTGCCGTTATTATTCATATGGCCAGAAATGTAGCTGAATGTGATTTGCAATTTAGTACACCTATAAATGATTGTGAGGTGAACAAATAAATGTTCTTCAAAAGCCTTGTATTGAACATCAGCAAGATGGCAACTCCCTTAAGCTTTAAAGGGGTCATAGGATGCTACAATCACTTTTACAAGTTACTTGAACTGAAATGTGTGTTGGCAGTGTGTGTACACAACCACCCTATAATGACAAAAATTCACCCAGTGTTTTTTTAATCTGGTTAAATGTTTTCCCCTTTCTCAAATCGAGCCGATCTCAGATGCCTGTTTGTGTGATGTCACAAAAACAGGCCCCTCCCACGATAGTTTAATTGACAGTAGCATTTCAGCACAGACTGGACTGGTGTCTTACCTTAGCCCCGCCCTGAGTGAGCTGTCATCAGTCTGCCATTGTTTCACCGCCGGAGCAGATGTAGACAAGAATGACTCCTAAGCGATTGAGGTGTTCTGTTGTTGGATGTAATAATGAACATAGCAGTCGTCATTTACTCCCGACATCTGAGCCGCTGAACTCGCAGTGGATTACATTGTTTCGGAAGGGAATGCGCCCCCGATCTACATAAA